CATTTAAGGTAGCCCGTCGGGCAGAGTGGTGATACATTTTGGTAGCCCGACTGGAAAACACAATAGCCCTGGGACGTCGGGCTAGCGATTTTGCGAGCCCTGTGAATGGGCAAGGCACGTCTTGGGATTGGTAAGCCAAGACAATAGCATCCACTATCCAGTGGGCTAACCTCTGTTTGGAGACAGCCTTTCCCTTCTGCTGGCCTCCGTAACAGACAAAGAGCTGGTCTGAGTTTCTGAAGCTTTGTGTTCTGTCCACGCACAACCGCAGAGCGCGGACGGGAAAGAGAAAAGCTAGGGCTGGGTCTGACTCCTCCAAGAGCAGCGCTTGCAGGCTCACTGCCTGGTCCCTGAAGGGAGTGGTAGGAACCTTGGGCACATATCCAGGCCTGGGTCTCAGGACAACGTGAGAGTTGGCCGGCCAGAATTCTAGGCACGATTCGTCGACCGAAAATGCCTGCAGGTCCCCTGCCCTCTTGATGGAAGCCAATGCAGTCAGGAGAACTGTCTTTAGTGACAGAATTTTCAACTCAGCTGACTGCAAGGGTTCAAAGGGAGGTCTCTGCTGTGCCGTGAGCACCAGAGAGAGATCCCAAGAGGGCACCGAGGTAGGACAAGGAGGGTTCAACCTCCTCGCCCCTCTAAGGAACCTGACGACCAGGTCATGCTTACCAAGAGACGTACTATCAACTGCATCGTGATGTGTGGCAATTGCGGCATCATACACTTTCAGGGTGGAGGGAGACAGCCTTCGCTCCAACCCCTATTGCAGGAAGGAAAGCACGACTCTGACCCGACATCTTCGGGGGTCTTCCCGGTGGGAAGAACACCAATCAACGAACAGTTTCCACTTCAAAGCATAGAGGCACCTCATAAAGGGAGCTCTAGCGGAAGTGATGGTGTCTACCACTGATTGGGGCAGGTCACCTAGAACCTCCGCGTCCCGTCCAGGGACCAGACATTAAGTTTTCAGAGGTCTGGACGCGGGTGCCAAAGGGTGCCCCGTCTCTGAGAAAGCAGGTCCTTCCTCAGAGGAATGGGCTAAGGAGGGGCTGTTGCGAGGAGCATAAGTTCCGAGAACCAAGTCCGGTTGGGCCAGTATGGCGCAACTAACAGGACCTGCTCCTCGTCCTCCCTGACTTTGCACAGTGTCTGTGCGAGAAGGCTCACTGGGGGAAACGCATATTTGCGAAGGCCCTGGGGCCAGCTGTGCGCCAGTGCATCTGTGCCGAGGATGCCCTCGGTCAGGGAATAAAACAGCTGGCAATGGGTCGAGTCGGGAGAGGCAAACAGGTCTACCTGTGCGGCTCCGAAGAGGTCCCAAATCAGCTGGACCACCTGGGGATGGAGTCGCCACTCTCCCGGAAGCGCAGGCTATCGTGAGAGCTCGTCGGCTGCACGATTGAGCACGCCAGGGATGTGAATGGCCCGAAGCGACCTCAAATGCTTCTGACTCCAGAGGAGGAGATGGAGGGCGAGTTGCCACGTGCGGCGGGAGCGTAGACCACCCTGGCGGTTGATGTACGCAACAGTCGCAGTTTTGTCCATACGGACCAGCACATGCTTGCCATGTAGCAGCCCTTTGAGGCGGTGCAAGACGTACTGATAGCAACTCGAGGCAGTTGATGTGCCAATGCAGTTGAGGCCCCATCCACAGACCCGACACTGCATGCCCGTTGTACGTGGCCCCCCAGCCCGTGGCATCCGTGAACACCACAGCATGCCTGGACACCTGTTCTAGGGGGACTCACGCCCGTAAAAACGAAGGATCTCACCACGGGCTGAAGGTTTGGTGACAGTACGGGGTGATGGACATGCCCATCTCGGGACTCTGCCGTGAAGCGAGTGCTGAAGCGGCCTCATATGAAGCAACCCGAGTGGCGTTACTGTGGCTGTAGATGCCTTATGCCCCAGGAGCCTCTGAAAAAATTTCAGTTTCGAATGCAAGTGCTACATCAAAAGCAAACCCATTATAATCACTGATGCTGTCTACACTGGATGCAGTATAAAGATGCGCATTCAGTTTTTGATGTTCTATAGGCACTTGGGTGTGCTGGCAAATGGAATAGTAAAAGAATGGCCACTTTGGCAGCACGTTCAAACAACGTATTCGTGTATCTGTACAGACTTCAGAAGGTTCTCAGCATCAGGAACAAGTGGATAGTTTTTTTTTTTTATTGAAAGATGAAGCAGCCAACTGTACTAGATCTGACAGCAGCTGCATCGCAACCATAAGTAAACAATTTCATAATGTATAATATTTTCAAAACACTTACTCATGTGCAGTAGTGAGGCGGCATTTTTTCTTATTCAAAATGGTTTCCTATTCAATGACATTAGCCAATCAATACAGTGATCATTTACAAGCCTTAAAGCCTGCAAAAACATTCAGGGGTAGACTAAAATTTTTTGGGGCTCGAGCCCTAAATGATGAGCCCTCTGATTTACACTACATGGTGTGCTTGCTATATTGTTTAACTTCTTATATGGTTAAATGTGTGTGTGGAAGGGAGACAGCAGGGTTTGCTGGCAAACATAAACAAAACAAAAACACACTAAATGCACACAGAGAAATGAGTTTGGGGTGTTTTATTTTACCACAAACCTGTGGACAAAAGTTCAGTGATGGAAGATTAACTATGACCTTTTTTAATTTTTTAAAAATTAGTTTTAAATTTTATACTGACATTGAAATGCACAACATTAATTATATGATTTATATATTGATTATATAATGATTAAATATAATGATTTAATATTTGATTAACATTTTCTTCATACATTAAACCCTTTTTTCTTGTTTCTGCAGAGTGTTTAAAGATGGCCAAACTAGAGACCTGCAGCAGGATTCTCTTCAACCAGTGAATGATGAACTACAGAGAGTCAAAGACCAGCTCAAAACCAGCATGAAGAACAAGTATGAGAGATTATTTGAGGGAATGAAACTCCAGGAGAATGAAAGCCTCCTGAACAGGATCTACACACAGCTCTACATCATAGAGGGAGAGAGTGAAGCAGTGAATGAAGAACATGAGGTTTAAAGAGGAATCTGTGATTCATCAGAGGAAAGTCTACAGCTTAATTCATCTGAGCGTTCAGGAGTTTCTCTCTGCTTTCTATGTGTTCTACTGCAATTTAATGAAGAACATAGAGCCACTGAATGAATTCAGATCTTACAAATTTTCCGGAGTATCTCTGTATGATCTACTAACATCAGCAGTAGATAAAGCCCTCAAGAGTGAGAATGGCCACCTGGATCTGTTCCTGCGGTTCCTGCTGGGCGTCTCACTGGAGTCCAATCAGAGACTCTTACAGGATCTACTGACACACACAGAGAACAGCTCAGAGAGCATCAGGAGAACCACACAGTACATTAAAGAGAAGATTAAAGATCCAGATGATATTTATTATCTCTCAGCTGGTGAATCCATCAATCTGTTCCTCTGTCTGCTGGAAATGAAAGATCAGACTCTGTCCAGAGAGATTCAGGAGTTTGTGAAATCAGACAAACACTCAGAGAAGAAACTCTCTCCTGCTCACTGCTCAACAATCACCTACATGCTTCAGATGTCAGAGGAGCCGCTGGATGAGCTGGACCTCAAGAAATACAACACATCAGATGAGGGGAGAAGAAGACTGATACCAGCTGTGATCAACTGCAGAAAAGCTCTGTGAGTGTTTCATCAAGAAATTAATAATCATGTTTAATAATGAATCTAGCATCTTTAAAATGGACCATTTCTTAAATTAGATATTTTCTTCTAAACAGCAAGCTTATAGTTTTGAAGGGGTCATGACATGACATGACATTTTTTTTTATTATTTTAGTTTTTTTAAGTTTTTTGACACAAAAACAGTCCTATATTTGCACAGCATGATTATTTTCTAGTCTCAGTTTGACTCTTGTCAGTAAATGTTTGCTATTGTGATTGACTAACATTGTTGCATCTCTCTCCTCATCACCCTCACTGCTCAACTGCACACTGTAGGTGTTGAAGTGCTGTTTTAGAGTCATTCAAATGCAAATATATACTTTTTGCAGGTTAGTTTCATGAAATGCTCTTTTTGCAGTGAGGAGGAATTTTTGAGGACTGAAAATTACAGCATTTTTATAGTATAGTGACCTCTTATATTTCAAAATATCAAATAAAGTTTGATTCCTCATATCATGACCCCTTAACTAAATACATTCAACAACAATGAAAGAACACCATTTAATGCATCTGAGCACTGCATCTGAGGTGAGACGAGTCAACAATGGCGTCCACATGTCGAGTACCTTGTTTTGCTTTAATTAATAAACATAATCTAATACAACAGCCATTACTGCACGAATAAGATGTAGTACATAAGATATTTATAGATATAAAAATATAAAACAAATTGCCCTTTGGGGATAATAAAGTTCACCTTGACCTTGACCTTGATTTAGTTTGAGCAGCTTGGCACTAAGAAATAGAATCAAACTCACAGATTCATGTAATTTGTCAAGTCATATCCCAAAGACATAACTTTGCATGAATGAAATAAGGAGTCTCTCAGATTCGTAGTTCAAAACTCATAATTGTATATCTTCAGCAAAGCATATTTTGAAGCACAGCAGTAGCTGAAGAAACAGTCAGGAGCTAATCTGATCTCTGATGTTGATGAACCTGATAAAATGAGCAGATTATATCCTTGCACTCAGGAACTCATCTTATTGTTATTCAGGCTGGAATGTAAAAATATTTTGTTCCAGGTTCCTGAGGACAGATACTTGGGAAATTCCTTTACATGTCTTTATTATATTATTGGTTTCATTTTATTTGTTCTTTCATCTCTTCTAGATTTTCTGGCTGTAATCTCTCAGATCAGCATTGTGAAATGGTGTCATCAGCTCTACAATCCTCAAACTCTGTCCTGAGAGAGCTGGATCTGAGTAACAGTCACCTACAGGACTCTGGTGTAAAGTTTATTTCTGATGCACTGAAGAGTCAAAACTGTCAGCTGCAGATACTGAGGTATTAAGAACATAAAGTACAGTCAGACAGTTATCATGTTGAGTGTCTGTAGATGATCTGACTGTTGATGTGTGTGTTCTGCTCTCTTTCAGTCTTGCTGGCTGTAATCTCACTGCTCAGTGTTGTGAGAGTTTGTCATCAGCTCTACAATCCTCAAACTCTGTCCTGAGAGAGCTGGATCTGAGTAACAATCATCTGCAGGATTCAGGAGTGAAGCTGCTCTCTGATGCACTGAAGAGTCCAAACTGTCAGCTGCAGATACTGAGGTTTGACTTTGTTTAAATAATTGGGAATAAAACAGGGCAATCTCAAGAAATTATTTTTTTCGTTTCACAATCCAACTGCTTTCCAAGCTGCTTTAGTGAAAATTGTGCCTTAATGTCTTGAAGACACAGTGAGCAGTTCACTAAATTAAATTAAATTAAATAAGTTTTCAGTATGGCCATGTTTAAACTGTAAGGACAGTAATTAGTGTATTAAAGTCTATCCTGAATTGACTAGAGAGATGCAGTCGGCAGTCAGTGGTGTGTCTCTCACTGTCTGGCTGCTGTAGTTCACAGTTGTCCTTTAGGAACATGAGGCTGGAGCTGATTTCATTAGACAGTATAAATTAGACTGATTTAATTAGACATTATAAAAGTTGATGAATTTAGATGATTGACAGCTTTTTAGTTATTATAAGGGGGGCGCTCTTTACGTGCCTTCTAGGCAATACAATCCATTCAAATTTGAATAAAAACTTTTTAAAAAAGTATTAGGTAAGGCAACAGTTATTTATTCGGAATGGCTGCCATGCCAAATCACGCATACAGTATGCTTGCTTTTATTGTTCAAATTATAATGGTTTGTGAATGTAGCTCCTTCAATAAGAAATCATTTATTGGGAGCATTTATGTTGGGATGTATAGATTGTTGCTAGGTGACTTGAAACTATTTCATGACTTTTTATTTAAATGTATTTTTAGAGAGGACGAACATCTCCTTAGCCTTACCCTGGAGTTGGTTCACATACACATACACATACACACACACACATACACATACACGCACACGCACACGCACACGCACACGCACACGCACACGCACACGCACACGCACACGCACACGCACACGCACACGCACACGCACACGCACACGCACACGCACACGCACACGCACACGCACACGCACACGCACACGCACACGCACACGCACACGCACACGCACACGCACACGCACACGCACACGCACACGCACACGCACACGCACACGCACACGCACACGCACACGCACACGCACACGCACACGCACACGCACACGCACACGCACACGCACACGCACACGCACACGCACACGCACACGCACACGCACACGCACACGCACACGCACACGCACACGCACACGCACACGCACACGCACACGCACACGCACACGCACACGCACACGCACACGCACACGCACACGCACACGCACACGCACACGCACACGCACACGCACACGCACACGCACACGCACACGCACACGCACACGCACACGCACACGCACACGCACACGCACACGCACACGCACACGCACACGCACACGCACACGCACACGCACACGCACACGCACACGCACACGCACACGCACACGCACACGCACACGCACACGCACACGCACACGCACACGCACACGCACACGCACACGCACACGCACACGCACACGCACACGCACACGCACACGCACACGCACACGCACACGCACACGCACACGCACACGCACACGCACACGCACACGCACACGCACACGCACACGCACACGCACACGCACACGCACACGCACACGCACACGCACACGCACACGCACACGCACACGCACACGCACACGCACACGCACACGCACACGCACACGCACACGCACACGCACACGCACACGCACACGCACACGCACACGCACACGCACACGCACACGCACACGCACACGCACACGCACACGCACACGCACACGCACACGCACACGCACACGCACACGCACACGCACACGCACACGCACACGCACACGCACACGCACACGCACACGCACACGCACACGCACACGCACACGCACACGCACACGCACACGCACACGCACACGCACACGCACACGCACACGCACACGCACACGCACACGCACACGCACACGCACACGCACACGCACACGCACACGCACACGCACACGCACACGCACACGCACACGCACACGCACACGCACACGCACACGCACACGCACACGCACACGCACACGCACACGCACACGCACACGCACACGCACACGCACACGCACACGCACACGCACACGCACACGCACACGCACACGCACACGCACACGCACACGCACACGCACACGCACACGCACACGCACACGCACACGCACACGCACACGCACACGCACACGCACACGCACACGCACACGCACACGCACACGCACACGCACACGCACACGCACACGCACACGCACACGCACACGCACACGCACACGCACACGCACACGCACACGCACACGCACACGCACACGCACACGCACACGCACACGCACACGCACACGCACACGCACACGCACACGCACACGCACACGCACACGCACACGCACACGCACACGCACACGCACACGCACACGCACACGCACACGCACACGCACACGCACACGCACACGCACACGCACACGCACACGCACACGCACACGCACACGCACACGCACACGCACACGCACACGCACACGCACACGCACACGCACACGCACACGCACACGCACACGCACACGCACACGCACACGCACACGCACACGCACACGCACACGCACACGCACACGCACACGCACACGCACACGCACACGCACACGCACACGCACACGCACACGCACACGCACACGCACACGCACACGCACACGCACACGCACACGCACACGCACACGCACACGCACACGCACACGCACACGCACACGCACACGCACACGCACACGCACACGCACACGCACACGCACACGCACACGCACACGCACACGCACACGCACACGCACACGCACACGCACACGCACACGCACACGCACACGCACACGCACACGCACACGCACACGCACACGCACACGCACACGCACACGCACACGCACACGCACACGCACACGCACACGCACACGCACACGCACACGCACACGCACACGCACACGCACACGCACACGCACACGCACACGCACACGCACACGCACACGCACACGCACACGCACACGCACACGCACACGCACACGCACACGCACACGCACACGCACACGCACACGCACACGCACACGCACACGCACACGCACACGCACACGCACACGCACACGCACACGCACACGCACACGCACACGCACACGCACACGCACACGCACACGCACACGCACACGCACACGCACACGCACACGCACACGCACACGCACACGCACACGCACACGCACACGCACACGCACACGCACACGCACACGCACACGCACACGCACACGCACACGCACACGCACACGCACACGCACACGCACACGCACACGCACACGCACACGCACACGCACACGCACACGCACACGCACACGCACACGCACACGCACACGCACACGCACACGCACACGCACACGCACACGCACACGCACACGCACACGCACACGCACACGCACACGCACACGCACACGCACACGCACACGCACACGCACACGCACACGCACACGCACACGCACACGCACACGCACACGCACACGCACACGCACACGCACACGCACACGCACACATACACACATGCACATACACATACACACACACACACTTTATCGGTAGATGAATCAAACCACATTTAAAACCTCAACATTTTACATACACACACACACACACACACACACATACACACACACACACTTTATCGGTAGATGAATCAAACCACATTTAAAACCTCAACATTTTACATACACACACACACACACACACACACATACACACACACACACTTTATCGGTAGATGAATCAAACCACATTTAAAACCTCAACATTTTACATACACACACACACACACACACACACATACACACACACACACTTTATCGGTAGATGAATCAAACCACATTTAAAACCTCAACAAATAAAAAAAAATAATTGTGAAAAAGAGAGAAACACCATAATTTGTGGAAATGTGAGCCGCTGGAGGACTGCATAGAAGGGCATTTTCAGACCTGTAGATCGTAGAGCTTTTTCCTTTTGGTTTGGTTCACTTTCAATCCTTTATTTTTCCAGGAAGGTCCCACTGAGATAAAAGAAAATCTCTTTTTCCAGGGACTCCTGGCCAAGATGACCGTACTAAAGTTTCACATAGATAAAAGTAAAACACACAACACACAAGACGGTCAGAATAAAACAGTAGTCATGAATCAGCAAATTATTTTTTTAACAGCAGCAAGGTACATTCATTACACACTGCAATAGTTTTTTTTTTTTAAATACTCAAAGAAGGAATTGCTTCTAATGGAGTAAAAGTTTGAAAATCGTTCCACAACCAAGGTGCATAGTAAAAGAAAGCTGATTTTCCATGTTCTGAATGCACCCCAGATACTTGTAATTGGATCCTGTTTGATGATCTGGTGGAATAGTTCTTTCAACGTAAGCATAAAAGTAATGTAATTTGGCAGCATACCCAGAAATGCCTTTACAGTATACAATAACATATGTGTTTTCCTTCTTTGAAATAAAGAGGACCAATCACAAGTATGTGAGCAAGCATTTATAAATTGCAATGCAGCATGATAAACACCATCCAGCCTTTTTAGAAAAGAAGAAAGAAGCATGCATGTAAATAATGTCACCATAATCTAAAATGGGTAAAAACGTTCTCTGTATAATTCGCTTTCTAGCTCCAAAGGAAAAACCGAAACCAATTTTTTTTTTTTTACTGAAAAAATTGACTTTCAGAAGGCAACACTGAAAAGTGTATCAAAATGTGTTTATGCAAGTCACGTGTGAGTAAAACACTGTCCTCTTATTTGACAGAGTTCACCTGTGTATGTTCCTCTGCGTCATTCATCAAGATAGATTGATAAATTAGCTCCGCAGGCTTATTATGGCTTTATCTGTAGCTGTCGTGACACATGCAAACACTTATGCCAATGTGGCTGTCATTCCCGCTCTAGCTGATAAATTATATATAAAATGCAGTTACAGCGAGAATCAAAAGCTGTCTAAACAGCATTCTTGAAATGTGCAGAGAAGATGCTTAAAACGTGCCACCAGGTGTTGAATCAAACACTCCCAACACGACTTCAGCTGCAGACTCGAATCACTCCAAACACAGCATC